CACACACACACACACACACACACACACACACACACACACACACACACTCGGCTCCTCCTCATTCCCTGCCCTAAAACACACACACTCCTCTTGCCAACAGGGGCTCCATTGTGAGCCCTTGAACATCTTTTATGTAGCTCTGAGCTTTGAGGGGAGCAGGCAGGTGCACACATCAGCACTGCAGGCTACACGCTTGTGTGTTTGTATAACTGCACACACCCTAACAGCACAGCACTTATATGATTAATGGATTAATCAGCTAGCTTCTCAACAAAGACTTCATAATTTAATCATCTGAAGGAACAAGTTTGACATTTGGGGAAATAGGCCTATGCTTTCTCAGTTATGTGAGATGGTTGATACCGCTCTCATGTCTGTGTGGTAAATGTGTAGCTGGAGTTAGTAGCCGAAAGCTTAGCTCAACCCAAAAATATGGCAAAAAGAAGTACAAAGAAAAAACAATTCTGCTTTTTTACAAGAGTTAGGAGCCAAACTATTTCTTGGCCAGGACCAGTTATGGAGACACGGGGAAGTCATGGAATGGTATGGCCATTTTCAACTGCAGGCTGCACCGTTCCTTCACATTCCTGTCTCTGTGCTTTTATTTTTTTATTCTAATTCATTCCCTCAACCTCTGCGTGCTCGCTTAGCACCCAGACGGCGTTTCATTGCATCTCTCATCTGTTCTCAGGAGCTCTCTTTTCATCATCTCAGTGCTTCAGTGGCAGTCACAGCCCTCTGTTCTTTATGATTTCTATTCCTCATTCTGTGCTCTCTCTCTCTCTCTCTCTCTCTCTCATGATACACCACTACACTTTCTATTCCCTGTGGCTGGCCACCATCAAGGGAAGCCCACTTCCTCATCCTGGAACTCCCCGAGCACCAGAGAGTCACAGGATTGGGCCGACCAACCAAAACGCAGCCACTGAGCTGTTTACAGGAAGTGAACAGCAGGCCTTTTGTATTCAGCTTCTATAAAAGGAAATTCTGCCGAGGACTTCCTGGAAGGAGTGATGAAGTCGACACACAGACACACAGACACACAGACACACACACACACACACACACACCTCTCTAACCCCTTTCATTCACTCACACAGAAGCACACAGACAGACACAAAAACACACACATTTGTACTGTATATGTGCACACTGACTCCCTCTACAGTCAGCTCACTGATTATGGGTCTGGCAGTGAATGAAGCGTAAACACACTGCCCAGCTGCACACCCGCTCTTGAACACCTTATCCTGTTATTCAAACAGCTGCCTCACCCCTGTGTCAACATTCTGATGACTCAAATCAACCAACCTGGCAACCTGATTTCCCGGGACGCTGTCAGAACTCGGTTGAGACAGTCTGGACCGGGTACAAAAGCCAGCTTCAGGACTCACAGTCAGAAGCCTGTTAGCTTTAGGGTCTAGTGCATGAATGGCTGGTTCAGTATAGCTGCCGGGTTCGCAGGTTTATACGCTGATGTGCAGTATTTTCAGACAAGGCCATAGCTAAGATTTCTCCCAAATGAAGTTCTGAAAGCTGTTAAAATCCTTCTACACACTGCCAGGAATACACATTTGTGTCCTCAGTGGTAGTTTGCAGGTATGCAAGAAGTGATCATCTCCAAACCCTGAAATGCTGAAGAATATTTGAAAAGTGTGTACTGTAGCCTTACAGACATGATACTGTATGTTTGTTGTACATGTTTGTACAGAAGTCTTCTGCCTTATTCAATAACATTGAATCAAACCAGCTTTTGAACTGTTAGATATACACAGGCCCATTTCAGTAAAGTAGGCCTTTGTATTAATATCACATCTTATTACACTACTATAGTGTCCCTGTAAACTGCCATCGCTTTGATTTACATTTAAACGAAAGCAAGCCATGAATCCCATTGGCACGAGGATATAGATCTCGTGACTGCTTTACTTTATTTTATCCCCTTTAAGGGACTAGAAAAGTGTCTCCTCAACAGTTATGGAAGAAGCAGCCACACTCAGTCTGATCGCTCCCTGTGCCAAAATACAGTTAATAGCATCCAAACTATTACCAAATACAACTCGTATGTAAGACGGATTCGCTGACTTGTGTTGAATGAGCAAATGTAAACTCACCGGTTGCTGTCAACCGCAAAAAGAACAGACCGCACTCTCCGGCCAAACACCCAAAAACTCCGCCCCGTCACCGATGATTTTCACTCCGTTTGAGGCCCAGATTTTCGCTGAGATATCACAAACTTCCCTGAAGGTGTGAACAAAAACAATATCTTTAATCTCACTCACTTAATTCCCGTCTTTCTCCCCGAGTACTCTCGGACTGGCTCCTTGTTTGGCCCGGGGAGGAACTTGGAAAGGAAGCGGAACGTCGTAGAAACAAACATGAGGAATCTGGACCTCGCGGCCACCGTAGCGCTCATAGGGCGAAACGCAAAGGGCGCGTAAAATGCAGTTGGTGAAAAGCAGCTGCCGTTGCCTGTGTGCCAGTCGGACTGTAAAAGTAGACGGACACAACACCGGAAACAGGGTGACTGTGTTTTCAGAATAAAATCTATCTACTCGAGAGCGCTCGAATTATATTAATTAATTATTGCCAAACATTGTCTATCCAATCAACTGCAGATATTCGTAATGATGATCTACACCAGCTTAACAATAAAAAAGAAGAAAGAAAATAAACACCCAAAGATTGTCAAATGATATCGGCCATATGGATCACATCATAAAACGTCACAAGATCAGAATTTATTTTGAAGGTCACTACCGGAAGTTACACATCCAGATCTGTTGACTTGACACAATCACAACAATGTAGCACAAACATCACCGCACCAGAAACAACAATCGCTGAGGAGAAGACAAATAGTACGATATTTTATTTACAGATAAATCACCCACGTTAGCGTACGAACAGCTAACTAACGCAATAACTCAAACCAGCAGTTAGCAATTGTTAGTATTACATGTTAAACATTTAAGTTAGCTAGCGTTAGCTTGCAAACAACGTTAATGTAATTTTGGTAAACTAACGTTAGATGTTAAGATACATTATCTTAACGGCTGTCCCTGATTTCGTTAAATAGCTCATACTTCCGTAGGGAGATGGAGTCACTTGGTTAGCTAGCTTTGCTATTCAGCAACATTTAACGCTACATCCAATATAGAAATATGCTAGTTTCCTGCATGTAAACCATGTGTCTAACGTTACTGTTCGTTAAGAAGTTTGTAACCTGGTTCAACTTTTCCTGAAGTATTACCTGCAGCGCCATGTCTGTGCACACAAAGGACAGGGTTTTATGGGGCGTTTTGTCAGTCATTCTCCAACAGATAACACTTACTTTTCCTTTGTTTTTGTCTGTTTGTGTATGTCTTTGCGTTTCTGCGCGTGCTGTAGGTGTGATGTTGTCCCGTAGGTGGAGGTTCGGATGGGACCGGTACAGTGAGGTGGACCTCTTCACAGACCGCTATGACACCAGTGCAGAGACCCTGTCCCAGGCCATCAGGGCCGCGGCGTCCGAGGAGCCAGACGCAGATGGCAGCGTGCTGTTTGGCCACCTGCAGGGTACTGTGGTCGGCCTCAGATATTACACCGGGGTGGTGAGGATCCATCACCCTTATTCGTGTAGTGCACTGATTCACAAAATACACAGTATAGTGCCGATATAGGTTGAGAAAACCTTCAAATCATCCGTGTTTTACTCTCGTTACAGGTGAATCAAGGTGAAATGGTCGGTTTAGTGAGGCAGCCCCAGAATCAGTACGACCACAATGCAGTGATGGTCGCCAACATTTATGGCAACCAAGTGGGTCACATCAAGCGGGAGCTGGCAGCAGCCATGGCCCATGTCATGGACAACAATTTGGCTAAAGTTGAGGGGTGAGTCGATTGTTATTGTGCACGTTGAATGTCAGAATATGATCTTTGTCAACATCTTAAGGATTGATCAAAACACCTGGCTAACCCTAAATGTAGGCATATATGGGTGCTATTGATGGATTCTCTCCATCAATATCTGTATTCGATTAGATTTCTTTGTTATTATGTGTCAGGGTGGTTCACTCAGGGACGAAAAACTCGTTCACCATGCCATTGATGCTGTCCTTCTGGGGGAAAGAGGAAAACAAAAATGCTGTGATGGAGAGCATGACCCGTCACGGATATAAACTGAACACAGGAGGAGGCAAAGCAACGGGTACAAACAAACACACTCACCCATCCAATCTCACTCGCCTCCTAATGGATGTCCTCACATTTATCCACACAGCCTGCATTGTTGCACACAAAATGTCAAGTTTTCCGGTATTGTCATCCACATTACCGCTTATTCTGTGTGTGTATGATTTCAGGTGCAAATCAGAATAGTCAAGGTGCTCGTGCATTGTCGTCTAAAAAAGGTTTGACCATCCCACTAACGGCAGCGGAGGTAATCTACTTAAATTTAGTAAATGTAAACGTAACATGTAATTAAATTAAGCTTTGTATTTGTTTTAGTCTGCTTAGAAACATCTTTTTTCTATCCTCTCAGTTTTTGACAGTAGATTTTGATTTATTATCCCTTTTTTTTTTTTTTTTTACATTTACACTAAATTGAAGTTAATTTAAATCAAAATTGTGTAACATTGATGTTGTTACAGGTAATCTCTGCTATACTGTATTTTTTTTAAACACCATCTGTGTGGTCGAAACTAAGTGTCTTAACATAGCACGGTTGTTTAAGTAAGGCATGTAAAGTTAATTATTGTTCGGACTTTTTAGTGTTCAGAGAATTCATTGTTCAAATGTGGAATGATTTAAATGCTAAAATGATATGGAACGACTACACATGTGCAGTCATTGTTGACGTAGTGAAAACAGACTTTAAGACATAAGTCAGCCGTTAAAATTCATTTTTTCTTTCAGCTGAAGAACGCATTCGACAAGCTTTTTGATGGCTTGATGGAGAGTGAAGACGGAGAGAAACAAGCAGCCGAGGTGCGTATTTGATCG